CAGCATGTAGCAGAGACCAGTGGTGCAGTATGATCCTTTATAGCAAAACAGTGTTAAAAAAAAATACAAAGCATTTCATTAGCTGTTCCTTAGAAGCTCACAGAAAGTTCATAAGCACAAAGTGGAGGTAAACGGAGTCACACCTGGCTGGGTTGAATCATAACACGTTGAATTTTCTTATCAACCGACAAGTTCTTTTTTAACTTTCTTTTTTACTTTATTGATTTCTTACAGAGAGGAAGGGAGAGGGATAGAGAGTTGGAAACATCCATCAGCTGCTCCTGCACACCCCCTACTGGAGATATACCCACAACCAAGGTACATGCCCTTGACTGGAATTGAACCTGGGACCCTACAGTACATAGGCCACTGCTCTATCCACTAAGCCAAACTGGTTAGGGCTAAACCAACAAGTTCTGACTCCCCAGTTTGGACAAAAATGATGGCACATACTAAACCTGGTAAGCTCAGGGATCCTGGCATGCCATGGCCAATCTTACAAACTCACAGGACAAAAGTAACCATGTAAGATGGTTTGAATTAAAACTTTGTAAGTAAAACTAAGCCACAGGGGTAGTTATGTCCTAGCCTTGTTTTTTGTTTTGTTTTGCAAAGGTCGATTTGTACCTTATTAAGCCTGGCTATTGTGCTTTTGCCTCTGGGATAACATACCTTTGGATTTTCAGGGAAATTTCCGTTTTACAGACTCCTAAGGGTACAATCTCCCAACACAGAAGACCACAGAGCCCCAATCATTATTATTATTGTGTTAAATATAAAGTGTTAACTATTCTATAACATTTAAAAAGAAGATTATTGCCGAAACCGGTTTGGCTCAGTGGATAGAGCGTCAGCCTGTGGACTAAAGGGTCCCGGGTTCGATTCTGGTCAAGGGCATGTACCTTGGTTGCGGGCATATCCCCAGTGGGAGATGTGCAGAAGGCAGCTGATGGATGTTTCTCTCTCATCGATGTTTCTAACTATCTCTCTCCCTTCCTCTCTGTAAATCAATAAAATATATTTTTAAAAAATAAAAATAAAAAGATTATCTCTAGTTGTTTTTTTTTTACTTTTGAACAACTCCCAGAATTTTCCCTCTTTCACTCTCCCCCCTAATTTATCACCAGTGAATTTCATGTCACCTTCTTATGTGTTCTACTTTGAGTGTAATGTATAAAATAGGTGCAAAACTGCCATTCTCCCAACTCAATCTTTTGTTATTTTGCTTCCTGGCAATGTCACAGGCTTGTGTCAAATAAATAGAGAAAAATTCTCCACAAGTTTAGAGATTTCTTACAACAACACCAAAAGCTATAGACTCATGTGAAGCAGGAGGAAGTTACATGCAGGGTGTCAGGGCCAGCCTGACAGGTTGAGCCAGGCTGAGGTAGGGAGGTGGGAAATGAGAAAAGAAAGAAAGACAGGAAAGTGGGATCAGGAGGACTCCAGTTCTTGAGGAACTGAAGCGAGTTTATTAGCTATACAATCTTATTTATACAGAACACACTGAATAGGAGGTCTGTCAAGAGGAACATAGTCTTTGTTCCTCTTAATCTCTAAGGGAGGGACACAGCAGAAGGACAAGTTCTCAGTACATAGTTGCAGACTTATCTCAGTAAATAGTTACAGACTTCTTGGTAAGCCATGAAAGGCTGTTCTCATTCTACAAAGGTTGCTCTTATTCTACTGATAATCGCCATCCAAACAAGTCTGGGAAAACTGTGTGGGTAAGGGTCCCAGCCTTGCTAGCCCCTTCAGGTGCAAGGACCTTGCCAGCTTACATCTGGCCCCCAACAGCAGGGGTGTCAGCATTTCCTTGGACACAATTGACTGAAGACAGTTTTATAAACACAAATGTAGAGCAGACTCAGATCACAGAGAGCTAGATCTTTCCAGTGCTTTCAGAGAACAGAAGAAAATGCTCAAGGCTCGGGTGACTTTGTGTTTATTGTATGTGTGTGCGCACGCACGCACGTGCACATGGTTAATCCTCACCTGAGGATGTTTTTCCTTTTTTTTTTTTTTTTTTTTTTTTTTTTTTTTTACCATCCCTTGCTTTTCCGTATGAGATTTCACACTCCATACCAAGCTCCCATGTCTCTGGATTCACTACATTTATCAGGTTTTTTTTATTTTTTATTATTAGATTCTATATATGAGTGAGATCAAGTGATACTGTCTTTCTCTGACTGACTTATTTCACTTAGCATGTTGCTCTCCAGGTCCCTCCTTACTGTGTGAAAGGATAAGAGATTCCTCCTTTTTATTGCTGCTTAGTATTCCATCGTATAAATGTACCCCAGCTTTGTATCCACTCATCTCCTGATGGGTACTTGGTCTGTTTCCAAATCTTTTTTTAAAAATTTTTATTTCTTAAAGTATTACAAAGAGTATTACATATGTCTCCTTCCCTCCCCCCCGCCCCCTTGACATTCCCTCAGCCTCCCCTACCCCCTAGTGTCTTGTGTCCATTGGTTATTCTTATATGCACGCATATAAGTCCTTCGGACTGATCCCCATTATCCGTTTCAACCTCACCAGGGCCGTCCCAACCTCACTGGGGTCATGTTGACCTCACTGGGGCTGTCCTGGCCTCACCAGGGCCATCTCGACCTCACCGGGGCCGTTTCAACCTCATCAGCGTTGTTCCTACCTCACCGGGGCTGTTTCAATCTCACCAGGGCTGTCCCAACCTAACCGGGTTTGGCTCGACCTCACCGGTGCTATCACAACCTCACCGGGGCCATTCCGACCTCACCAGGGCCATTTCGGCCTCACCGGGGCCGTCCCAACCTCACCGGGGCCATCCCAACCTCACCGGGGCCGTCCCGACCTCAACAGGGTTTATGTTGTTAAGCAGTTTGACCAGAGGAGCTGTGTGAATTAGAGGAGCCTACAGTCTTGGGGTTTAATTAGCAGGTGCTTCTTATAAATTGTGGAAGGCCACAGTAAAGGCACAGACTTTTTTTGTTGTTGTTCCTTACAAATACCTCAACCACATTCAGAACCCAATACTTTATTGCCTGAGGAGTGACTACTTCTAGGAGACGAAATAAAGGGACACCAGCAATACTTCACTCATTGTTTTCATTAGGACGTAAGCAATGGGTCCCGGAGTTAATAAGCCACTCTTTGAATTTTCTCCTGAACTCACAGGTTCTAAGTCCTCAGTATGGACAAAACTGATGGCACATAGTAAACCTAGCAAGCTCAGGGAGCCTGGCATCGCATGGTCAATCTTACAAACTCAGAGACCAAAAGCATGCTAAGTGAAATAAATCAGTCCGAGAAAGACAACTATCACTTGATCTCTCTCATATATAGAGTCTAATGAACAAAAAACTGATCAATGGAGTGCATTCAGAAACACGGAAGCGTCTAAATTACTGCAGAATCTCAGCGGGAAAGTAGGGGAGGTGGTAAAAAGAAATATCCTCAGGTAAGGATTAAAAAACCTGCACACACCTAACAAAAACAAAGTCACCTGAGCTTTGAGTATTTTCTTTCTCCTTTTCACGTTTATTTCATCAAAAACATTCGCTCTTGCCGAAACCGGTTTGGCTCAGTGGATAGAGCGTCGGCCTGCGGACTGAAGGGTCCCAGGTTCCCCCCATGCTGTGTGAAAGGGTAAGAGATTCTTCATTTTTCCTGCTGCATGGTATTCTATGGTATCAATGTACCACAGTTTTTTATCCACTCATCTACTGATGGGTACTTGGGCTCTTTCCAGATCTTTGCTATTGTAAATTGTGCTGCTATGAAGAGAGGGGTCGTTACTTTCTATCTGATTGTTACAGGTTTCTTAGGATGTGTGATGTGTTTCCCCCATGTCCCTCCTGGTTCAGGGTTCAGGATCTGGAAGAGGGGCTGCACTAAAATGAAAGAGACTAGACAATAGGTAATAATTTGGAAATTGGCAGGGCTGAGAGAGCCCATCCCAAGGGGATGGACTCCTCTTGTGCTCAGGCCTTGCCATCTTTGTATTCAGTTTGGGATACACCCATAGCCCTTAGGCAGGCAAGTTCAAGTAACAGGCAGACTATCTTATCATTAAGGATTTATATGACTATAGGTGGGAAGTTACTTCAGCTGCCATTGTCTGGACTAAACAGTGACCTTTGCCAGGGCTCAATGGTCACCATCCTTCCAGGCTCCTGGTTCACACCTCTCTGCCAGTGAAGACAATAGGGCGTTTCCCACAGGATATATTCCTAGAAGTGGAATCACTGGATCCAATGGCAGTTCCATATTAAATTTTTGGCAAAATTCAATACTGATAGCCATAATGGCTGCACCAGTTTGCATTCCCACCAGCAGTGTACTAGGATACCTTTTTTTCTACATCCTCATCAGCAGTTTCCATTTAATGACTTGTTGATGGATGCCATTTTGACAGTTCTGAGGTGATGCCTAATTGTTGTTTGAATTTTCATGTCTTTGAATGATCAGTCACTTTGAGCAGTTTGTCACCTGTCTCTTGGCCATCTTATCGCCAGTGCAGCCCAGACAGAGCTGCATTTCGGATGCATTCAGAAGCAGATGCCTTTAAAGTATGAGTGTCTGTTTTGTGCCATTCACTTTGTACAGTGCATTCAATGGAGGTGGGTTACAGCGAGTTAGAGACTTGAGCAACCTCTGCAAGTTACAGTGGACCTGACGGAGACATATGCCAAATGTCCTGAATGAAGAAACTATGCCTGCCATTCAGAATGAGCAGGTCCTGAAGAAAGATATGCAAAGCCAGCCCCTAAAGGAAGCCAGTCATGTGCACCAGAAAGAAATTCGCCCCAGAAATCAACTCCTCTGAAGGCGCTGGAGGACACTTAATGTATTGGTGTGTTCTTGGGCTCTGTGCCCCTTAATCCAGTCCTGGATGCTGCTAGGAGATACAGGATCCTGACCTTGGAGCGGAGAAACTACATTACCCAGAAGGCTATGCAGGAAATGCCTCCAGGATGAACCAATGGAGGCTCAGAAAAGGCATTTCCATTTGGCCTCTTCCGTAGGGCGGGATGGGGAGTCCTTGTGGCGGGATTTTGCCTTCTCAGGTTTTTGTGTCAGGCTGTGAGGTTTCCCAAGTCCACAGTCCGGTGGAGAAGGCCTGAGAGTGGTGCTCCCCGCCCCACAGCCAATGGTCGCAGCCTCTAGTAGTATTGACGGAAAGAGCAGAGGCTGCAGGGAGGACGGCACAGACCCATTCGGGGCTTTCCCGGCTGTGGGGTCCATCCGGGGCCTGGGGTGGTCCTGGATCGGGCTGGACTACAAGCTCTCCACACGCCATATGCCAAGTTCATGGGTGAGTCCAGCGAGATCCAGTGGCATTGGAGCAGGAAGGGGACAAAACTGAGGGAGTGAACCTGGGATGTGAACATGGGAAGTGTTAGGTTAGGTGGCTCAGGAGGCGGCGAAGGAAAAAAAGAGAGTTGATCAGAAAAGGAAGTAAGGAAGTAAAGTTTATTCAGTGTCCTCGGGAGATCCACGTTCCCCCAAGGACAGGGCACGTGGATTCATGCCAACAGGTAGGGGGGCGCTTTTTTTATACTGCAGTTGGGTGAGGGGCGGGGACATGAGCTGAGGTGTTCAGTTGAGGAAGTTGCAGGGGGTCAGCAAGGTATTCAGGAATGAGTCAGTATCTGTGTGGGGGTCATGGAGAAGCCATTATCTGTGTCTGGCATGCTGATCTGTTAGAAATGCCAGGGGGAGTCCATTATCGTCACACGTCTGCATGTATCGGATCCTGGGCTCTCTCCAACCTAACAGGAAGGGGTTATACTTTACCCAGTGGTGTGCACATCTGGAGGAAGTGTGAGCTGATGGTCTCCGGAACCTGCTGTGGGGACTTAAAGGGGAAGCATAAACCCACGCTTGGCTTTGTCTTGGAGGCAGGATCTAGGAGACTGCAGTGGTGTTGCTTGGCTGGAAGGCTGGGGCCCTGTAGACATCGCCCAGTTCTTAAATGGCATTGCCCTCTACCTTCTCTTCCCACCCAATCCTTGTGCTCTGCTGAGGGCCATGCAGTGAGTAATGGGACTGTGATGAGAGCAGCCTGCATTAGGGCCTGATATCCACAGTAACCAGGGACCCTGGAGGAGGTTGAGGGGGGCAAGGCATGTAAGGACTAGAATTATTGGTTCTCAGAGAGACAGCTCTGTTTCAATTGTCTCAATTCTGACAGGTTGGGGTCACCTTTGAGGACATTGCCCTGTACTTCTCCAGAAAGGAATGGAGCCTCCTTGATGAGGGTCAGAGACAGCTGTACCTGAACGTGATGCTGGAGAACTTTGAACTTCTATCCTCCCTGGGTAAGACCCTCACTGTCACCAGTGACATGGACTTGGCAAATCGGTTCCAGCAATACATCAGAAAGATCAGACACCATAACCAATAGGATTTATCCCAGGGATGCAAGGATGGTACAATATCTGCAAATGGATAAACGTGATACATCACATAAACAAATTGAGAAATGAAGACCACATAGTCATATCAATTGATGCAGAAAAAGCATTTGACACAATCCAACACCCATTTTTGATAAAAACTCTTAGCAAGTTGGGAATAGAAGGATTATACCTCAACATAATAAAAGCCATATATGGCCCTAACCGGTTTGGCTAAGTGGATAGAGCGTTGGGCTGGGGACTTAAGGGTCCAAGGTTCGATTCCCCTCAAGGGCATGTACCTGGGTTGCGGGCACATCCCCAGTAGGGAATGTGCAGGAGGCAACTGATCGATGTCTGTCTCTTATCGATGTTTCTAACTCTCTATCCCCATCCCTTCCTCTCTGTAAAAAAATCAATAAAATATATTAAAAAGAAAAAGCCATATATGATAAACCCACAGCCAACATCATACTCAATGGGCAAAAACTAAAACCATTTCCCTTAAGTACAGTAACAAGACAGAGATGCCCACTCTCACCATTCCTGTTCGACATAGTACTGGAAGTATTAGCCATTGCGATTAGACAAGTAGAAGAAATAAAAGGCATCCAAATTGGAAAAGAAGAAATAAAACTATCCTTATGTGCAGATGACATGTAATTTCCCATGATTAAAAAAAACCCTAAAGAATCCATCAAAAAACTATTAGATGTAATAAACGAATTGGTCAATGTAGCAGGATACAAAGTTAATGCCTAGAAATCTTTGGCATTTCTATACACCAATAGTGAACTTACAGAAAGAGAGACTAAAAAAGAAACCCTATTTACCATCACGCCAAAAAATTGAAATTCTTATTTATATATTTATTATTGCTTTCAGATAGAGAGGAAGAGAGATGGAGAGAGAGAGAGAGAAACATCAGAATGAGGGAGAAACATCAATTGGCTGCCTTCTGTACACAAGATAACTGGAAATGGAACCCACATACTGACTGTTATGTGCCTTGACTGCGAATTGAATCCTTGACCATTTGGTACTCAGGATGATGCTCCAACCAATTGAGCCATACTGACCAAGGCATTCTGTGGTTTTTAAACACACACATTTCCAGGTTTTGTTGTAGAACAGGCCACTAGGATCAATGACAGCAGAAGCACAGTGGATGCTAGAGGTAACTCTGACCCTTGTTTTTGACTGTAGGTATCTTCAAATATATTTGTTCACCCAGTCTTTCCAGTCATCCTTTCTGTACAGTTCTCCTTTATTTGTGTCTGTAATATTGTTTGTCTTCATGGTACTCTTATTCCCATTTCCTATGGGGTTTTTGTTCATGGAAAGCTGTCTACTTGCACTGGGAAGGGGGAAGAAGCTCATCTCTCTGATCCCTCCATCTTGCTGATGTCACTCACATAGGTCTTTTGACTGTGATCTCATTTGTCCTTTGTTAACCACAGGGTTGTCTACCCACCTTTTCTCCTTTTTGAAGATTTGCATCTTTTATCTAATGCAATAAAGATTTGCATCATTTATCCCATGCAATGGCTCAAATGGGATTGAAGGGGAAGAATCATTTGTGCATCACAGAAGAAACATGACTTTATGAATGACACAGTGGAACCCCTGGCGATCATTCTTTGGGGAATGGTCATTGGGGAGGAATTCACGACAGGCCTTTGTTACATTCACACCTAGAAACCCAGTATTTTGTTACAGTTGCCCAGTCCTCACCCGATTTATGCTTCTTTCTGCTTATTGGTGATACTTTGCCAACTATTCAGTTCTAATTTTGATCATTTCTACTTAGATTCCCAGCTCATGGATAACCGTAGCCTCTCTGGACTTTGTACCTCTGCCTCTGTCACAGGTCTCTCTTCACTGCAAGCCAACATTGGTCCATGCCTGCAGCACCTTGCAGAGCACACGTGTTATTATATTGAAGTTGTATATCCTGTGATCTAATACAATTAATTTTTATTGCTTTGAGCTGCTTTAAATTATTCCACACACACTCACGTGGTCGGAACATAAGAGCCCAGAGCAGCGGTTCTCAACATTGGCTGCACATTAGAACCACTTGGGAATCTTTTTAAAAACCTGATTTCTGGTCCTCATCCTCCAGAAATTCTGATTCTTTGTTATGGGGTGGGGCCACAACATTAGTAACAAAGAAACAGAATTTCCAGAGGATCAGGCACAGAAATCAGGGTTTTAAAACGATTCTCAGGTGATTCTAATGTACAGCCAAGATTGAAAACCACTGTCCTAGAGGAAGCTGTTTGTGCAAGAACAATGAGTAGAAGCATCCTTTCTTTGTTTTTTGTGTTTTTTTAAATCTTTATTGTTCAAATTATTACATTTGTTCCTCTTTTTTCTCCCATAACTCCCCTCCACCCAGTTCCCACCCCACCCTCCGCCCTCACTCCCCACCCACTGTTCTCATCCATCGGT